TGCCAGCACTTCTCCTTCTCCACAACACCTAAAAAGTGCTGTATACATCTCAGACTGGCAGCAACTCTATTTTAACTGTGGAGTGCTCCGTTTCAAGAGAATATAAAAAATAACCAATAGGGCCCTCCCTGGTGGCGCAATGGGTTAAAAGCACAGCACTGAGAATCTAAAGCCACTTCCACATGAGTTCGATTCCCACCTGCCCTGGAGGTGACCGCATGGTATGGCAGACCTCTCCTGACCTGCCTGCTGCTCCCCTCAGCAGTGTACTTCGTCGATCTGCCTGTTCTGTTCCCTACTCTGTCTCTGGTGAAGCCTCTCACCGTCTCTGAGCCTCTGGCCTGTACCCCAGTTCTGTATGCACAAATAAATAAATCTTTAAAAAAATAATAACCAATAAAGTGAGTATGCTCTGGATGTATCATTATGTTACATACATATTCAAAAAGGTTCCACTAAACAGGGACCTCCTATAGTGAGTGTGGTTACAGATCATTAACTGCAACCCAGAGAGGAAGAGAGTAAGAACTAGGAAACCTCAAAATAAAAATGGAAGAATTGCTGCTCCCCTTACAGACTTTCGAGAAATAGAAGAGTATTGAGGCAGATTTCCCACTTTGTGATGTTTAAAAGGATTTAGATGACCCTTGTCTCACAACCCCAAAACAACATTAAGTTCTGGTCTCTCTGAGCTGGGAGTTCAATGACACAAGTTCTAAATGTCTGTTCCACCACTAATTAGCTCTATGACCTGAGATATATCACTTAATCTCACTGGACTTGTGTCTTCTCATCTGTAAAAGGTTAGGGGGTGGGGTGTGGAATAGAAGTCCAGACTTGCTTTGCCTCACACATTGTTGTGAGGCTCAAGTGAGATAATATATGTGAAAGTACTTTTAAGATCAAAAGGCATTGTGTGAATGCAAGGTATTAACTTTTTAAGTTTCAATCCTGTATCAATTAAATCCTAGGAGAAGTGAAGGATAATAGGTTTGCATGTTAATCCCATCCAAATTAATTGTCTGAATCCCCTGTCTTTCCCATAAATGCTGTTCTTCATTCCATCTCTTTATTAGAAAGGTTGTTATTTTGGTTTTGTACATTGCTGAGGTGGCCAGAGTAGGGGAGGCTGTTAGCTGCTAAGACTCAGGAGAGGCACCTATTCCTTCCATAAATTGCTCTAAAATGGAGGGTTAGAGAAATTGGAGCTATTGGTTGAAGGAAAAGGGGTTTCTACTCTAGTGCTGCAGTGCTATTCTCTCCATCAATAATGAAAAGAAAATGAACGAAAAGGAGGATAAGAGCATTAATTTTGCCACATTTCTCAGGTTTTCTCTCCTTTGCTTCTCCCAAAGTCCTGACATGCCTACAATCAAAGGATCTTCATGTCAGCTTAGAAAGACTTTATTCTGAGTGGGAAAGATGAGCCCATTGTCTGATCTATACTTCTTCCCTTCTAATGGGGTAACTTCTATCTATACTTCTTCCCTTCTAATGGGGGAACTTGCTAGGAAGTTCCAGGTTAGGGACCATGTCTGCACTGGGACATCCAGAAGCATGGCCACTCAAGCCTCTGTGGAGATGCCGTCATTCTTATTCTTATGTAGCTCTTGGCCTTTATAACAGTATTGTTCAATTAGAAAAGAGCCTTTTAAGAGGTCATCAATCATCTGAAATACCGAATACCGTTAAAAAGCAATGCTGAATAAAAAAAAGATACTCCAACTGGTAACCTGCAATGAATCATCCATGTAACAAATATTTCCTCAATCTTTACTATGGCCTCAGCCCCACCTTAGGTTTTGAGGAAATTTATAAGCATCTAAGTAAATCTTTCTCTGTCAAGAGACTAGCAGACCATGGGGGAGAGAAATACAGATAAGATTCAGAAAAGGTGCCCCCTCCCAAGTTGGCACCACTAGACCTATTCTAACCATTTGCCCTTTTCCTACTCCCTCTCTGTCCCATGATCCTGAATAAAAACCATTCTACTCAATTTTGGACTGAAGAGAGATGAAAAAGGAAAGCAAAACAAACCATGCTGTAACATAAGGCAATAAGGATGATTTGCTCAGAAATAAGCATAATTTGCTCAGAATTTTTTTAAAGGATTATTTATGCATACAGAACTGGGGTACAGGCCAGAAGTGCGGAGGCAGGGAGAGGATTCACCAGAGACAGAATGGGGAGCAGAACATGCTGACTGATGAAGTACACTGCTGAGGGGAGCAGCAGGAGGGCCAGGAGAGGTCTGCAGCACCATGTGGGTCACCTCTGGGGCAGGGATCGAACTCATGCTAAAATGGCTTTAGCTACTTAATGCTGTGCTTTAATCCGCTGAGCCACCAGAGAGGGCCATTTTTTATAATCAAATTAATCATAATGCAACCCAGGCAGTATATCTCTAGTAACCTACTCTAATGGAGCAAAACCCATGCACAAAGAACTATTTTAGCATTCAACCTCAAACTGACCTTGCAGCAAGCATTTACAAAGTGAATTTTGGACTCCTTGTGATTGACCATAGAATGATAGACAAGAGTTTTGAGAAACACATATAAAGCAATAGCTCCAAGTTGCTCCTTGGTGTGGTCCTACTTGACAAGTCTCAGTTCATGCCAACCCCTACTCCATTGCAATCTAACCCAAGAGACAGCCTATTCCATGTCTGTTCAGCCTTCAGACCTTCTAACTATATGCCAGGTTTTAGTGAAAATATGATTCAAATGTAAGATATTGGCCCTTTTTAAGGACAGGAATTTCACCAAAATCTGAAAGCCTACGGAGTGAGTGCCAAACCTAAGCCTACAGCCACGTCAGATCTGGCCTCTGTATGTTTAGGTCCTGAACTCTTAGAATTAAAAGCAGCTTGGTAACTTGAGCGTGGCACAACCCAGAGGAGAAAAAGCCCAAGAAGGGTGAAGAAGATGTGTCCTTTATGTGGATTTACTGGAAAGAGACTTGTCTTCAGTGAGAGACTTGATAAACAGAACTCACCTCCCCTGGGGCTTATCAACCCCAGAGGTTAGGGGTAGTCCCTGCACTAGCTCCGTAGGTGCCAAGCACTGTGACCCAGCTCCAGAGGGTGGGTTTAAGATGCCATGCTGCAGTGAAAATGTGGGAAATACAGATATCATTATCATCAGAGAGGCTGGTCTTTGAAGGGGGCTAGGTGAGACTGTTATTATTTACTACTAGAACATGGTGCACAGAACAGAAAAATGCTGCAGGTTCTAGAAAATTCCGGGTGGGTCGTGTCAGTTGGCAAAAGAAGAGGGATTATTGGAGAATATAGTCTGGAAGGAGAGGGTGAGAGGAGGGGCTGCAGAAGGAGGGCTGCCATACACAACTGCAGCATTATATGTGTGGGAGATAAATTTACTTGTCATATTTCAAATTAGGTTTATGAGTACTTCTTCCCTCAGCCCCCCACATCAGTGGCTTAACGGTTGGTCTTCTCAATATTTAACTGCAATTATGCCGTATATTGGGGTCTAAAGTCTAGGTCTGACTGAGGTGATGGTCTGTGTGTACGTGACTAACAAACGAGAGAGCTTCTGAAGTCTCCTGATGGAGCAGGATGGGTGCTGCGGCAGGGACCTGCAGTTCTCTTTGCAAGGCAGTCTTCCATCCTTAACGTCAGAGTGCCTCTGAGGTGTCAGGGAGTGAAAAAGGTGTGGATATTGCAGTGAATTTCCCTCAGCCTAAGCTACAGCGCGCGCGCACACACACACACAGACACGCGCGCGCGCGCGCGCACACACACACACACACACGCTCTCGTGTGTGGGGGCGAGCGCGCGCGCGCGCACACACACACACACAACCACAGGATATTAACAAGTTCAGTAAAAAGTCCTGCTGATGCCTGGGAAGTCCAGCTAAAAGCAAAAGGCAGTCTCCGGTGGCAAGGGCGAGCTAGACAGACGCCCAGATGGTTGCGGAGACCAGGGCAGCCTCAGCTGTGGAGCGCACAGCCCAGACACGGCTTCCCTGACACTCTTGCCTTGCTCTCTCAGGCTATATCTGCAGCTGCAGAAAGCCAGGTTTCCAGCCATCCTTCACCACACACCTTCCCAAAGCACCCCAAGCCCCCCTGTACCCAGGCAAACCGCTCGATCCGGGAAAGCTCAGAAATACAAGGGAGAGGAGAGAGAGAGAGAGAGAGAGAGAGAGAGAGAGAGAGAGAGAGAGA